TCAAAATGGCCATGGGATACTGCTATCCCTAACCAGAATAACCCCGAAAGCCTTGCAACTCCTTGTACCTTAGAGACGCCATGGATATTCAAATCATTTCAAAATTTGACTTCCTTGGCATTCGGTTTCTTCGTCTCTGGCAGAGACATTTTTTTAAAAAAAATTTAAATAATTATTTTAAATTCGGGTGACCCGTTAGAAACATGAGAAACCTGCAAATTAGACTAATTGCATGAAATTGGTTAGTTTAGGGACTCAATTGCATGTTTTTTGAGTTAAATATAATGCCCTAATTTCACTTTGGTGTGTAGTTCGATGGCCTATTTGACCCTTATTCCAAAATGAAATAACTGCGGTGCATTTATGTAATAGCTGTGGTGCATTCTTCAATTCGCACGAAAAGAACAGTTTGCACTTGAGCGCGAACACACACATACACACACACTTTATAACCATTGTACAATCTTTTTTTTTTTTGAAAGTAAACGCAACTTGCGTTAAGATACTAAACCGAAAATAGTGTTAGGAGGGACATAGTCTCAGTACAAAGTGCTAGCATGTGAAACGGCTGCAGTAGCTAAAGAATGAGGTATAACATTTGCTGATCTAGGGACTAAACTAACAGTGCAATTATTAAAGTGGAAATAGCAATCCTACACTCATCAATAATCAAACCAACATAAGAGAGAATAGGTGCCTGTGTAGATAAACAACTATGTAGCTCCGAGCAGTCAGTGTAGAGTTCCACAGATAACACACCACGATCTTTTAGCCACGACATTGCCTCCTTACACGCCATTGACTCCGTCATGAGTGGTGAGAAACACGCTGGAAGGGGACCGCCACAAGCTTCTATGAAACCCGAGGAAGGTGAGAGCAAGGTTGCCCCAAACGCTGCTCTACCCGTAGTGCGCTGAAAGGTGGCGCCGAAGAAGCACCTGGGCAAGACCGAAGGCGGCTGAGTGGCTATGGTGCTGGTAGGGGCTGCTGGAGTGCGCGGAAGGTGGACCTACCTCCATGCATGCAGGGAAGACGCCGCTGCCTCCAAAACCCTTCGCGGCAGTGGTACGCTGCCTTCCCAGACAGCAGAATTCTAGCTCTCCATAAGTGATAAAGAACTGCCAGAAGCAAAGTCATGTTATCCTGATTACACACGTCTAATGCATGCTTAACCCATGAAGGGAATGTGTTGCCAGCAATAGAAGAGATAGGCAAAGAAGAAACATTCCACACAAGTTGAGAAAATTCACATAAGACAAGAACATGCATTGTATTCTCATGAGTATGGTCACACATTGGGCATGATAGATTCACTTCTACCCTCTTTAAAAGCAAGTTCGTGGTGGTCGGGAGAATATCATTAAGAGCCCTCCATAAAAAAAGTTTTCCATTTGGGAGGAACCTTCAACTTCCATAAGGTGATCCATTTGTCAAAGTCCCTAGGGTGATTTTCATAATCACCAATAATGTGTCTATAACCACTCTTCACAAAATAACAACCCCTTGTGTCTCCTAACCAAAACCATGAGTCCTCGTAGCCAGGGCTAATAGGGATCCTAAAGATACGAACCGCATCATTAGGATCAAAGATATCAACCAAGATTTCAAGGTCCCACAAATTTGTACTTTGGTCAATCAAACCAGATACCAAAGAGCCACTTAGAGGGGACGACATGGTGGTCTGCACCATGGGGCTCGGGTCATCAGGTAGCCAAGGATGTCCCTAAATTAAAGCAGACTTACCATCCCCAATCCTGCGCCTCACTCCACCGCAGACCAGATCATGAGCATCCATAATACTACGCCAGCAATAACTAGGACAATTACCCACAATGACATCAATAAAAGAAGTTCTAGGAAATTATCTAGCCTTATAAATCCATGCAACCAAAGAATGAGGCTTAGTTAGGAACCTCCAAGCTTGTTTACCCAACATAGCCAAGTTAAGAATCCAAAGATCCTTGAAACCAAACCCTCATACTTCTTAGACACACATAAACGATCCCATGCTCTCTAGTGAATTACTTCTTCATTCCCAGTACCCCACCAATACCGATTCATGGTTTGTTCAATAGATAGGCAAACAGTCTCAGGTAGCAAGAAAACACTCATAGAAAAGGTAGGCATAGATTGAGCCACACTTGTTCCACGAACCAATTCTCTGCCTGATCTTATTCTCAACGTAAGAGAAGGTTGCTTTCTTATTCCTCCCTACGAACGCATGCAAACCCAGATATTTACCAAAATTTGAAGCCTATGCAACACCTAGCACAAGTTCCACCTCATCCATGAATTCATCTGATGTATTCTTGCTAAAACAGACACTTGATTTATGATAATTAGCCACCTGACCTCACAAGTTCTCAAAAACACTCAGACAGTGCTTAATAACACCTGCTTCCTGGGCATTTTCTTTAAAGAAAAGGAGGTTGTCATCTGCAAAGAAAAGATGGGAGATAGGAGGAGCACCCCTAGCCGCCCTACACCCATGAATAGATCCCTCCTCTTGAGCTTTCTGTAACAACAGAGAGTGCCCCCCCCCCCCCCTCCGCACAGATAATAAACAAATAAAGCGATAATGGGTTCCCCTGTCATAAGCCACGAGTGGGGGTTACACTTCCGCTACTAACACCATTTATCAGGAAATTATAAGATACCGTAGTAACACAGAGTATAATCAAATCTACCCACATTTCTGCAAATCCTAACGCCAATAACATCCTCCGCAGGAAAGTCCATTCCATTCGGTCATAAGCCTTAGCCATGTCCATTTTAAGGGCACCCCAACCTACCGCCCCACATTGCTTTCTATTAAGATAATGACCCACCTCCGCAACCACAAGGATATTATTAGTAATTAGTCTGTCTGGGATAAAAACAATTTAGGACTCAGAGATTAAGCCACCCAGAAGTGGTTTCATCCTATTGGTTAACATCTTGGCCATAACCTTGTAGGCAACATTACATAGTGCAATAGGCCTAAGGTTAGACACAGACTCCAGGACATTCTTCTTAGGGATGAAAACCACATTAGTATATTCAGGCCCTCCGGGAAAAAGCAAGAGTTTAAATAATTAATCACAAAGAATGACACATCCCCCCCCCCCCCACCCCCCAACCACATCCCAAAAGTACTAATAGAAACCTCGGTCCATCCCATCTAGGCCAGGAGCCTTATTAGGAAACATAGAAAACAGGTCAGACTTAACTTCATCAAACTCAAAAGGGCGTAGGAGGGTATCATTATCAATCTAGGAGATACGGGGAGCAATAGAGTCAAAAAATGAGTGCCCATAGGCAGAACCACTTGACTTGAAGGTATTATCAAAATATTCAACACAACAGTTTTCATAGCATCACCCTCAACCCAGTCCCCAGCTTCATTTCTAAGCTTAACAAGAGTGTTTTTCTTCTTACGAGCAGAGTCATACGTGTGGTAGAATTTCATGTTTGCATCTTCTCCCTTCAGCCAGTGCTGCTTGCCGCGTTGCCTCCAAAATACATCTTCTTGTGCCTCGAGACGGCTCAACTGCAGCTCATTATGTTGGAACTTAGCCAAGGCGGCTAGGTCCCTGAGGCCCCTCAGTGCCAACTGATCCTTACGAAGACTCTTGATATGTTCACCAAATTTGTGGAAGTGATCCCCTCCCCACTTTAACAAGCGTTCCCCACAAAGCTGTAGGCAACCCAACAGACCATCCTCCCTCCCATCCTGCCATGCTCCTTCCACCACACCTCCTACAGCCCTCATCTAGCAGCCAAGCCATCTCAAAATGGAAACCCTCCTCTTCCCACCACCCCTCTTGCGTGTGTCATTGACACTCAGAAAAAGGACTGAATGGTCAGAAGAGCGAGTAATGATATTCCCCACATTCGCACCAACCTGCACTTGCCAACACTTTATATAGCCTCTTTTCCATCCAATCACTAGTGCCCCTACCCCTCTCCCAAGTGAACCGATAACCTCTCATCGGCAATTTTACCAAACCGCACTCATCCACAACAATCTAAGAAAACATGGTAATAATGTATCTGTTGAATAAAAAAATGATGTTCTTAGTATATCCTCAATTAATAGCACCCCTTGTTTTAAAACGAATGATGGAAAATGTTGTAATAAATTGAAGACAATATTAACCTCTTTAATTTAGTAAACATTTAATGCTTATAGGGAATAGGGACACAGCCTACCATACCCAACTATTTCATGTTTTCTTCTTTTTCCTTTTTTTTTTTTTTTTTTTTTTGCTTCATTACAAACCCACATAATGCTGACGTCTATGTCACTGCCTAGGCAAGGGAGGACTGGCCATGCCAGGTCCAATGTTTGAACTTTTGAAGGGCCCTGTCTAATTTATGAGTTTTTTTTTTTTTTTTTTTTTTTAAATTTTTTTTTATGAATATAGTTATAATCTACAAATCTAATAAGAGCCAATAAAGTTAGACCCCTAACAGGAAATTAAAAATGTTGGTGTAATTGTTTGCTTAAATGAATGGTCATATTATTTTGATTTTAGTATTTTTTTATTTTCCTTATTTTCCCATCTATTATATCAATTACTTTTCTTAAATACATTTGTATTCCGTCAGTGTAAACCTTAGTAACGAAATATTCCGTTAGCTATTTGTTATTCTTAATTTACTCATTGATTTTCATAAGAAAAGTCTTATGTTCGAACTCATCCCAATAAAAATTGTCATAATTGTTAAACATATACTATGAATATGTTAGAGTGTATTAAAAATACAATATAAAATTTAACATTAACTTTAGTTAATTAATTAGAATCACGCAGTGGACATTGATGAAATGGTACACCTTATTTATAGTATATATTCAACACAGATGAGAAAGTATGTCTATTATCATTATCTTTTTGGAGAAGAAGGATTTGGTTATGGTTTTGAAGGTGCACTGCGCCAAGGCACTAAAATTACAGTGAAGTACACCAGGGGAATAAATCAAATCAAGAATTCATTTTTAGCGGAAGTGGAACAAGATGAAGCATGTATCACGCCAATTAATAGGGTTTTGTGTTGCAAAAACTATACTTAGGGTACTATCCAATGAGGATGTTTCCCTCTAAAATTGCTATTGCACCAATTAATC